GTGGTTTTTGTTTTTGTGAGAAACGGTCGAGCGCACCGCACCTTGTCACACCATTCGTATTGGTGAAATGAAGCAGAGATATTTGCTAAGTTGGAGTAATAAAACATCATGCGATTTGTCCTCGCAAGAGTTCCGGAGCAAATACCCCCTGTTGCAAGATTTATGAAGTCTCATTGGTGAATAGCCAAATATGGTTCCTCCAAAAAAAGGGAATAGGCAAATAATGCGCACTGTAATGCAAAGTTGTAGCACCTTGTACTTCCAGTACTCCGGTTTACAATGCATGCGCTTACTCCTAAATCATCAATTTGACCAATGAAATACGAGTTATATGACATAAAAGGTAATACATATTTGAAACAAGTTTGTGAATGTATGCTTTTTGTGATTTATAAATCTTATTATGTTGATCAAATTGAGGATCCAGAGATACTAACATGCGCGAGAAAAGAATAAGACAGTATACTGCATTGAACACATAGCTCGAGAGTAGAAGTAGCACGTGTGTATGTATGTAATCAAATAGTCATGAAGCTCCGTTTTTATTTTATTTTTTGGATCGGATCATGAAGCTCTTTCGCTGGAGAATTATAAGGTTCAAAATAGATGGCGGCCATGATGGGGCAGCGTGTGGCCCTGGCCCTTGCCGTACGCACGGCCTCGCTGCCGCCCGGGCCCCCCGGGCGGCAGCCAGCTGGGTGCAACAGTCGCACAACTCGGAGCACATTCACCCGGCGTCCCAGTAGCAGTACGAGGCCTTCTTCTCTGCTCTACAGGACCCCCCACGTCAGACATAGTCCGTCGTGGGCTCGTACCCATCATATCTACGGGAGATCGGGCGTGCCAGGTGTTGTCTTCCCCGGCCGAGAGGGCGGGCCCTTCCCAGGGATCTGGTTCCCGTCGCCGTCGCGGCCAGCTCGGACGGCCGGGGTCACACGCGTCGCCAGGCGGCTTCGAGACAGCTCTGGGCCGCGGCACTGCACGCTTGCCTCCGGGCGCGGCCGTCGACCCGCCGCCGGCAATTCGCAGACGCCAACAGCTTGCGCGCGCCTCGTAGAACACGACTAGCTAGCCATAGCAGCATGCAGCCGCCGCTCGCCCTGAGAAGCATTCAGCCGGGCGCCCCAAACCGGCCCCAAATAGCCGGCCGGATGTCTTAAACGGGTTCAAATGACCGCCCGTGTTCACGGGCACGCCTCATATTTGTCACTTTACATGTGCGTATCTCGTATCCGACGTATCTCGTATCCGACGCATTATATCCATACTACACATATAACATTGATTTACTCTACGTGATCAAACAACGGACAACACAAATCCGCTGCAAAAGAACACAAGATCGACTGCAAACGGACATTAAGAAACTTCGCCACATCCAAAAGATCATCTTACTTCGTCACCATACAAGTTCTTAAACTTCTACAACTAAGAGCATCTCCAATAAAGGCGCTAAAAGTAGCCCGCGCTGAAAAATTCGCTAATTTAGCACGCGGAGCATCTCCAGCAGACACTGCAAAAGCCAACACGCTGTAAAATTCATCCGGCGCGCTGGGAATTTCCGTATCACACGCGGGATATTTGCTGCGCGGCGTACAACGCGCTGGACAATGACGCGCGAAGACCAGCTGCTCCGCTCCGCTTCGCTCCCTCTGCTCGTTCCGCCATTTCCTGCAGCTCGCCGTCGCCGGCCGCCGCCACTCCTCTGCGTGCTCGTCATCTACTCTTCCCGGCATGGGGTGGAGTCACCACTACCCTGCTCGCCGGCTGGAGCTTGCCGCCTCGAGTTCGCCGGCCGGGAGCGCGTGCCAGCCGGGAGCCGCCGTTGCCCTTCTGCTCGCAGCCTCCCTGCAGCTCGCCGCCTCGAGCTCTGTGGCCGAAGGCTAGCGTTGCATGCGGAGCTTGCGGTTTCCGATCGATTGCAAGCCAGCTGATAGGGAAGCCAAGCTAGCTAGCTCGTGTTTGTGCATCAAGCTAGCTCGCGTGCGGTGGCCGGCGATTTCAAGGATCCAACAATTGGGGACCTAATTGCGTTTTTGTTTTGGTCAGATGGATTTATCTGTAAATGTTAGGGACCTGTTTGTTGTAGATATATTTGTGACGCTTTATATTTTTAGTGCGTCTGCTGGACCGCTGCGCGTCGTCCGCTACGCGCTATATTTTTGTGCGTCTGCTGGACTGTAACGGCCACGGCGCACTAAAATTACTAAAATGGCGCTATAAAATTATTTTAGCGCGTCGTTTTTTTGGGCGTCTGTTGGAGATGCTCTAAAAACAATATAAACATTGAGGAGAGCGGGCAGGAGGGGGGGGGGGTTCACCAATTCCTCGCCGGGCCTTTGCCCTTCCGATCGCCGACGCAGCTGTAGTCGTCTGTGGCTGGTGGAGGGTCTTGGTTGTCCGAGGAGGAGGTGCAGCTGTCGCCATCGTCGGAGTCGGAGCCTGAGAGGACGATGAACCCCTTCATCCGACGGACCGCCCTGTCCTGCTCCCGCTTCAACTTGGCGACCGAGCCGCCTTCGTCGCTGCCTCCTTTGCCTCGCGCTACGACAACTCAATAGCAAGCCAGCGTGCCTTGGCGTTCTTCTATCGAGGCGGCGAGCGTCTGTCACCCTCGTCGTGAGGGACCGACGGTGGACCCATGCAAGGAGCCGCACGTCCCCATTAGGGTCCGCCTCCATCCCGTGGCGGCGGCGCAGACTACTCTGCCGCGTCCATCTCCCGTGCACGCTGCCTCTCGCGGCACACGCCCCCGATTTCGGAGTGCACGTGCGGCCCGGCAGCGCAGACACTAGCATCCACCGCTTCCCGCATGGAGGAGCAGCCGGCGGAGGAAGGAAATGGCGCGGGGGCGGTGCATACTGCGCTGTCCTGGCGTCTCTGTGCGCGGGAGCTGCGGCGCTCTAGATCCAGAGCTGTCGCCGGTCTCCACCTTGGACCGCTTCAACGCAATGCGGACGGCCATCACCTCCTCGTAGTCGAGCTCGGAGCCGGAGTCGCTGCCGGAGCTGGACATCGTAGTGGATGGGATTGGAATTGAAGAGGGAGAAGAGAGGACAAAGCGAGAGAGAGGGAGAGAGAGTTAGAGTTAGAGTTTGGAGCGAGGCCCCCGGATTGGGGTTTTGTGGGACAACAGTGGGGTTGGTGATGGGCCGTGCCTGTCAGGCAGACGAGCCCAAATCCGTCCTATATTTGGACTGGAT